AGATCCAGGGGGTCTCTGGCAGGTGGGGCGGTGGGCAGGAGGCTCGTCCTGTGGGATGAGGCAAGGCAAGGTGAGGCAGGGCGGGGTGCCATTGTCGCAGGGCAAGGCGAGTCAGGGGCCAGGGTGGCTGCTGCCTGACACCATCAGCCCCCCCACACAGAGGCCAGCGAGCACATGGGGGCCGACAGTGTCCATCAGCAGCTACAGCCTGCCAGCCCCTCCACTGGTGCACTCTGGGGCTCCGCAGCCCGCCACAAGTTCAGAGAAGCCACCTCAGAGCTGGGCGGCCGGCCAACAGCTGAGGAGGCGATGCAGTGGGTCATGCCCGGGAAAAGGAGAGCATGCGAGGCCAGGAGGGATGGGACGGGGGGAGGGAAACCAGCCGTGCTGGGATGCATCCGGCCACTTGGGACCTTGGTGAGTTAGGGGCAACTGGTTGAAGAGAGACGGTTGCCATCTCTGAGGCATGGTGTGCGTGCCCACAGAGAGGGCTCTGAGTGCTACCTCTGGCACGCGTGCCATGGGTCCGTCACCACTGGTGTAAGAGGTGTTTGGTCTAGTGGTTAAGGCACTAGACTAAATACCAGGAGAATGTGAGTTCTAGTCCTGCCTTAACCATGAAAGCCAGCTAGGTGACCTTGGGCCAGTCCCTGTCTCTCAGCCCAACCCACCTCATAGGGTGGCGGTTGTGGGGAAAATAGAGGAGGAGGAAGGTGTGTTGGATATGTTTGTCGCCTTCAGTTATTTGTGAAAATAATAAAGGTGGGTTATGAATAAAAAAAATAAAAATAAATTGTGGGGTTGTCTTGGGTTTTTCAGGTCTCATTCCTAGGCAGTAACCTCTCTATAGCTCAACAGGTCAACATTTCTTTTAAAATATACTGATTAATATTGCTGCATTCTCCTTTGCAGCCAAAACAAACTAGATCAAGTCCATTGCTCAGGGCATATTTATCCAAACATGTGCATTATTTCCTTAATGGACCTTTAAAAAACTTTCCTGAATTTCCTATATTTTTGTACATTATTTTTTTAAATTAATATACACTTTTCTGGGCAAACTAACTTCAGTACTTGGTGCTATAACAAGTTAAGAATAGAAATAAAATAATATGCATATTTTTAACTGCAGAACTGAGTGGAAAAATTGGAGGGATGCAAACTTCAGAATAGTAGGGAATTTTACTTTGTGTTTTTGATTGAAAATGGAAGTTCTGTTCTGCTCCTCCTTACAACCATAATCTAGATGTGCTTACTCAGAGGTGGGTAGACTCTTGCTTCTGAGGACAGAAAAACCGTGGAGAATGGAAAGAATTTGTCCTGTAGAATAGAAATTTGCTCAGCGCTAGATAAGGTCAGGGCATTCACAAGGGGCTTTTAAGTCATGCATAAATATGCAATAATGAATTTGGTTTTTTTTATGTTGTCAGAAATGCCTTCATGCTTTGTGCTACAGCAGAGTAACATAACTATCTCTAGACATCTCTCCAAAAATAATTCCTTTCATAGTGACTCAGTCTCACATTTCCTTTACCCACATTCTTAAAAATGGCATTGTTCTGCTTTATTATTATTATTATTATTATTATTATTATTATTATTATTATTATTATTATTATGGTATGTTTAATGGATAGAAAAAAAAGATAGAAATGTGATGGTACAGTACAGACTAGTTACAAATAAATCAGAGTGCCTTTGGTAACTTTCTTAAAGCACTCCATGAGCAAAGTATTGTGACTCTACAATAAAAACCTTGTCTGGAAGCATCCCAAAGCAGATAAAGAGCATGCAAAAAGAGTAAAGCAATTAATGAGAAGGTTAATACGACAGGAAAAGTAGCAAAAATGTTATATAGCTTGTAAACCTGATGGTTCATGCTACAAAAAACTGTAATACAAATTGCTAGCTGTTGTAAAATAAAATTGGCTAAACATCTGCATAAAAGTGGAGAAAATCAGTACTTGGAAATAAAACAGACAAATAAAACCCAGAAGTGACAGATATTACCTTCCACTTTTCTACAGAATTACTAAAGAGCAAAGTCTAAATTCCAATTAACTTTAGTATATAGAGTACCATAGGGTAATAAACAGGACAATAAAACATCAGTTGTAAATATAACAATACTAATACATATATTAGATAGTAGAAAAATGGAAGCATAATCTCATCTAGACTGTTTTGTGTCAGAAAAGGCTATAATGAAATCATACCATTATTTTATAAGACTTACTAGATGAATCTAAGTATTCACCTAGTCAGTTGTCTATATTTAGTTTTTATGACAACCATGTAACAACAAAAAATGTAAGCTAACATGGGAACTAAATTACAATTAAAAAGCAAAATTCATAAAATATTTAAGTTTTTAAAATATAAAAATATGCATTTTTTAAAAAGATACTTGTTCAAAGAGATAGATTATAACCCAATTCAACTTATACAATAAAAATGTAATTCCTCAATACCATAGTCCTGTTTAGCAACCATAATTGGGACCACCAACTTGGTCATTAACTGAAATAGTTGCAAGTGAAACTATGATTGTGCTTATGATCTTTCCTTTGCTTTACTGATCTGCGAAGTTCATAAATGTAAGGATTGGTCCAAAGCTACTTTTTCATCAACACCATGAACAATAACTAAATGAGACAGTTGCTAAATGAAGACTACCTGTAATTTAAGCAAAGTAGCCAGAGGAAATATTATGATTACAGTTGATATCCAATGGCTGGACCATGTTATAAATATTATTCTTTTAGTAGAATTTATTTTCACTCTTCTTTTAACTCCCACCATACATAGCTAGAGAATGCCCCAACATATGAGAACAAATTTGGTAAGCTAATGGAAAAATAATCTATAATAATGGCAAATCCTTTTCTGGAATATGAAATAATTCTGCCTCAAGAATAGTAGCTATATTAAGTATTTGTGTTAATGTTAACTGGAAAAATACTTGGATTCATTTTCACGTCCCTCCTGCTGCACCAGTAACCATTTTAAAGTGACATTGCTGTCATCTCATCTCCAGCCCAAAGCCAAAGCAGCTTGAAGTTGTCTTTAGCTGCTCCAAACACATGTTGTGTTTTCCTTCTTCCCTGAAGACAGTTTTTGGCAGAGAGAGAAACTTGTTCCCTTCGTAGATGCTGTAGTTGACGATACATCCAGGGACTTGAATTTGCCCTTTTTCAATGCTTTTCTTTAGGTTGCTATGCATCATTAGATGTTAAGGAGATCAACTGGCAGTTGTTTTTCCCCACTCATAGGTGGGGAAAGGAATGAAACCTGGGAATCCATTCATTATCTTCTTTCTCTTGTCCCAAATGAAAACAGGACACCAACCTTGCTACTGTGGCAGAATAGGGCTCAGTGGTGACGGCACCAGAATTTATGCCAGCAAACTCTTCTTCCAGCTCACAGACTAAATAAGAGCATTTCAGCGAAGCTGTGCAGCTCTGCTTTTTGTTAGCCAACACAGCCTAAAGCAAGCTCAGATAATTGATATCCTCCATACATTTTGGATTATCATTTTCAAAATATCTTCTGATTTCTGTGCAGCTGGGACAGATGGAGGCTGTAATAATCAAAAACGTTTGAAAGTCCAAGATCCTTGGAACACATTATGTCCATTTTTATATACTGTACTATTCAGTTTTGCACGAGATCATTTGTCCGTTAGACTCATAAACGCAGCTTCTCATCCCTCATTCCCTAGAGTGCATTTAGATTAGTGTTTTGGCATGCATTTTAAATGAAGCTTGTGCAGAACCCAACTTTTAAGAATTAATCAATTGCAATACTAGTTTGACAAAATGCATAAAAGTTCTGCCGTGACCTATTTGATATTGCCCCAGACATCTCTACACATTATGGGCAAGTCTACACATCTCTTGATGTTTGGTTTGAAGATACTGTAGTTGGCTAACTGTTCTTACAAGATGCAGCCTTCTTCTCATCCCCAACATGTAGCTAATCCATGTCACTAAGTATATTGTGGAACTTCAAAATGGTTGCAGCTCTAAGATCTTCTGGAGACAAGAATGTACTGAAAGAATATGAGGGACTACAACTGTCCTGTTTGTCAGCACACAGCATAATTTGATAGTATGAAGCTATTAGCTACAGTGCAATCCTACACACATTTGTAATTGTACTACAAACTTGGTTTCCTCATAATGCTAGTTTTACACGTCAAAAAACAGAAAAGCCCAGTGGATAGGGCTAGAGAAAGGAACATTTTCCTTCTGTTTGTTCTGTATAAGAAGTACATTCAGAAACATTGGTAATATCTGTATTTTATAGCTCTGAGTGCGGAAGATGTCTTTTATATACCCATAGCAAAAACATGTGTAATGTTGCCTTACGTATATTTTCTTAAACGAACTGAGCAGAATTCCCATGTTAAACTAAAATGTAAGTGGCGAGTTTGTGACTGAGGATTGTAATTTAGACATAGTCGTTACGGTTCCTTTTAGGTTCAGAGGGTTGCTCAAACCCATATAATTGGGTTAATTCAATCAGTCATGCATTAATGTGTCCTATAAGCCCAAGCCTTGAATCGTTGACCTTTCAGGTTTTCAGCAAACTGGGTCTTTTACTTTGTTTCATTTAAGACAATGCACTTAAAGGAGGAAAGAAGGGAAATGAATGCCATGTCTTCTCAAGTTTAAAAAAAAAAAACTGTTTCGCTGAACACATTCTGAGGGAAGAGATTGCCTCGGGGAAACAAGACTTCACCGCCTTATTTCTCTGCTTCGTGATGCCTGCTGGGAATTGTGGTCTTACTTTTTGCCGAGGACCGGCTATTCTTACAGACGGGGAGTTCAGCCTTCAGTTCCCACGATCCTCCGCGAGAGCTGGCGGCGTCTAGTTCTGTTTCCCGGATGTCGCTTTCGCCGGAAGAGAAGCGAGTTTCTGTGGGGGCCGGCCATCTTGTGTGGGCAGCAAAGAAGCACGTAGGGGGTGGGCCGGGGCCTGGGCAGCATCGGAGGAGGATCCCACCCAAAGGGGTCCATCATGCCCGGACACCTGCAGGAAGGCTTCGGTTGCGTCGTCACCAACCGCTTTGACCAGCTCTTGGACGACGAATCCGACCCTTTCGAGGTGATCCAGGCGGCCGAGAGCCGCAAGAAAGAGAGCACCGGTGGTGGGGGCGGCGGCGGCGGCGGCCACCAAGGCAGCCGCGGCGGCGGCGGCGGGCCGGCGGCCCAAGCTAACTCATCCTCAGGCGGCGGCTCGGGCCAGGTCGGCTCGGGCGGAGGGAGCGGCAGCGCGGCGAAGCAGCTGCGCAGGGAATCTCAGAAGGAGCGCAAGAACCCGCTGCCGCCCTTCGCCTCTTCGACTGGGCCCGGAGGCGCTGGGGACCGGCGAGAGGATGGAGGCGGGCAGCCTGGCTCCGCGCCTCTCAGGAAGGAAGGTGAGTGGCGGGCCGCTCTTCTCTTCGGCGGGAGGCGGGAGACGAGTCGGGCTCCCCACAAGGTCAGCGTTTCTTTCGGGCGGGCGGAGAGAAGCAGCCGAGCCTTCCCCCCCCCCGTCAGTAGCAGGCTTCCCCCCCTCCTTCCACCTAGCACGTGGTGCTGGAGCGGGACCCCCTCCCCTCTTTTCCCGCTTGTCTGGCCGGAGGAGAGAGGTGCCCGTCTCCCTCACGTGCGGAGGGCATGGCGAGCCTGCCTGCTTGCCCCGAGCCTCCACCCTGGCCAGAATGGGCCCCGCTCGTGTTGACCGGCCGTCGTGGGAAGGAAGCGCGCCTGGTGCAGCCGCGCGAGCTCCTTAGGCGAAGCCCTCCGCGTTCTCTGTTCGCGGGGGGGATGCAGCAGCAGCAGCAAAGCAGCGTTGCCGAAGGGCGGGGAGGGCGCCGACCTGAGGTTGGCTTTCTCCTCGCGGTGGGACGGCCCCGGCAAGGCCTGCAAAGGCTCGTGTGGGGGGGGGGGAGGGAGGGAGGGTTGAGGGAGAGACACTTTCCAATCTTGGAATGGCGGCTTGAGAAACGGAGGGCGATTCTGGCCTCTCGAGTTTAGTCATCCTGCCGGTGCCCACGTAGAAGCGGCGGCGGCGGCAACCCGCTGGACACGGGTTTGGGAGGCACGAAGTTGGAGTCCCGTTTGTACCTGGGGCCACGTGCGTAACCACGCATGTTTGCTGGGCTGGTCGTTTGACTTCTTCGGTTGTCTGCTGCCGCCTACTTAATAGGCGTGAACGAATAGACAAAATGGAACTGTGGAGGTGAAATGACCGCCTGGGATTCTGGACTGTAACTTGTTAAAAAAAAAAAAAAAGATGTTGCACGTTGCTGGCTTTTTTTTTTTTAATTTAAATTTCTCCCGTCAATTGATTGAATCTATTGTTTGTTTTGCCTTGTTTTCTTGAGTTGACGGTATCCGTAGAATTTGGGGCTTATTTTTAAGGTGGAAAGGCCGTGGACCGTTGTTTAAAACATTTTGCAACAATGTGTAAATAAAACAAAATGGACTGAAAGCGTTAAATTTCTCTGTGCTTTTTGCTTCATAAAATACTTCTCTAAAGGAAATGAAAGGTGCTCTTTGAGAATGTTGATTAAATAGTGCTAATTATATGGTTTTAGCCTTACTTTCTATGAACTTTAAGCAGGAGACTGTGAAGCATGGTAATATTTTTAATAGCACCAATTCTACACCTTGTAGTGGGAAGAAAATGTATGATATGTAACTTGATCGCTTTAAATGTACCTTGATTACAAAAAAATGTTTTTGCTTATATGTTAAATCTTAAAGATTATTTAATAGTTATCAGTCAGGTGTCCTGTGTAATGGAGCACAATTCTCATCACCAGTCAACCTGCACTGGCAGTTGCAGAAGAGAAAGTTAGATTAGTACAGGCAATAGGAGTAGGAAGTGATTATGAGATTAGTAATTGAAATATATTCTTAAATTTATTTAACAGTCTTGTATACTCCAGAGAATATTTAAATATTCAAATAGTAAAAATATTCTTGAATAAGACAGTTATTAAAATACTAAACCAAGATTTGTAATGTTTTAAACTTTACTCTGGGTGTTTTTCAATGGTTATAGAAATTGCCAGAAGCAATTTTTTTTGTAGTTCTCTGATAGTATTTGAATATGAAATTGGGGGCTATGATGTAAAGACTACAAGACAGACAATTACAAAAGGCTTAGTTTTCAGCATATCTTTACTGCCATCTACTGGCTGTCAGGAGTTTTGCAGCGTATGTTGGATAGCTGTACACTACTGCTTGAAAATGTTCATGAGTAAGACATTTAATTTAGAAAAGTTGGCTTGATAACTTTGCAACAATATGGCAGTTCAACATTAGTACTTCTGTAATTGCCTTGATTCAACATTGCTTGGAGTTTCTGCTTGTAATTTGAAGAAATAAAAGTATATTTGTGTTTTTATCTAGATTTTTATGCAAACTCCATACACTTATGGAGATGTCTATTTTTGGAGAATTTTGGGTCAGTCTACATAAACTTTTGAGGAATTTTTTGATACAGAACTGATCTGTTTGAATCCCACTTGTTTTTAAAAGTTTGGATTATATGTTCTTTCAAAGCTTTGCCTATTTTCACATATGATAGTCTGATAGAAACCCATTTTATGACTATCCATTTTTACTTTGACAGTAACTATAGTAAAAGGATTGTGTTACAAAAGCTGCCTTTGTTAGATAAAAGTATACATAATGGGGACAATCCTTATGCAGTTGGGTGAAATATAAATAGCACCTAAATAATTTCAGAAAAGATTTTTTTAAAAGAAGTAGTTTTTCCTTTGTATAAATCATCTTATAGACATGTCCAAATGGTAGAGAAGGCAAAGGGACAGGCTTACATGCTGAATTCTATGGTAACTTTAAAGATGGAAGAATACTGGCAATAGATGAATGAAGAAAAATAAATCATCTTATTTTCATAATGGGTTGTAAATTCCCCTTGAAGAATATAGTTGTATTTAAGGTTGTATACAGATACTTTGCATATATTTCTGTAGTATGAAAATTACAGCATAATTTCTAGGCATTGTAGAAAACAGGATATTAATGGTAATATTTGTAATATAGTAAGTAGGTTCTGCTTACTAGCATCAAATCTAGCCAATTTAATATAGATTCAATAACGTTACATGGCTCTATAAAAATTCAGTAATGATTGTTCATTAGATTGAGCTATTCTAATTGAATCAGAATGCAACTATAATTTAGGCACTTGCTAAAGAAAAATGTTCATTTATATGAAGTTTATTTCAGCTGCATATTTTTATCCAGTGATTGGGATTGTTCTGAACATTATTGAAAAAGTTTGGTGTATATCCAGATTTTGAGGTACCTGTTACATATAATTGAATGTGCATGATGCAGTTTATGAATGTCTAATAAGTGTTTATTAAATGTAAAATGCTCAGTTGAGCTGCATGGAAATGGTTTCATTTATACCATCCAATAGAATATCTTTATATTACTAGCAGATATGCAATATATGCAACACCAGTAATAATTGCAAAGTCAAAAATACTATTTTGCTTTTATTCTGTATAACAGTTGCAGCAGTAAAAATTATAGGCTTGGCCTTGGATCCAACTTAGATAAAAGATAAGTTATGTCTAAAACATTAAGTCAGGAACTAAAGCAAAAAGGCAGTATAGTCCTTCAGAAAGCTAGTATGTCTTGGCAAGTCAACTAAGAAATGCTTTCCAATTTCTTTGGATTCAAAGTGGCAAGAGAAAAGTAAACTTGACCTGATTAAAAGTGAGGGGAAAGCCAAGGAATACCTCACACATAATGGTGACTAGATAGGTGTGAAGTTCAGTGTCAAGCATTCACTAGCGCCCTTTAATCAGAAGTAGCTTCAGGACTTTGCTTGGTCTGAAATGCAGGCTTACCATATTAAAAGATATAGTCACTAATGATAACCCTGTATCGGATTCTGGGATTCTTGGACATTTCTCTTTCAACACCTCCTGTTCAGGCTGTGTCTCTGAGTATTAGGTATGGCTAATAGTTTTCATAAGCAATATTTTACTGATATTTCTTGTTCTCCTTCTAGCAACTTAGAATTGTTTTATATCGTGATATATGTGACAGTTTTAGAACTCCTTGGTTTAGCATTCAGCAGAACTTTTGAATCCAATTCATAATATATGAGTGGATTGATAGCCCATAATATTTTGCCAACGGCAGTATTATTTGAAGCCACCATTGTTCTCAGGATGAGGAAAAGCCAACTTTTAATATAAAAATCATTTCTGTTTCTTTGTTTGAGTGAAACTTTGGCACTGTTAGTTAGCCAGTTGGTTTCAAGCAGTGTGGCGGAATTATTGTGCAGGAATTACTGGCATTCTGACAGCTCCCAGGCAAAGAATAAAATATATTGCATGCTGAGACCTAGTGCTTTCAGTTGCAGAATGTTGCATGTTGGGAGGGGATTACTGCAGCAGATTAGTGCATTACTACAGAGTTAATTATTTCTATGAAGTCATATTTCCAGCTTCCTTATCAGTCCATAAGCGAACATCTACTTTCTGTTATAAGGAACTTGATAAGTATTAAAGCATAATAAGAAATGGTGGCTCTCCCATTTCCTAATTGTAACTGATTCTCCACATCCTATAAAGATTTCTGAAATAGAAATTATTGATCAGATTAACTTAATTAAATCTCAGTATTTTCTTAAATAAAGAGAAAATATTCTGGAATTAGACTGATCTCTCCCAAAGTAAATCTTTTGCAAACTATTCCAGTATGCATGCTGCAATTAGGCAAACAAGTAACTTGATTGTTTCACTAAAGAATACTAGTTGTGAATTTTATTTAATGGAAACGCGAATGAATATTTTAAAAATTATTGTTTCATATGTGTATGAGATTAATTTTAGTTTTTCTAGCTTGTAGCTTGAAGGATTATAAATACTTGTAGAGCTAGTTTGACCACAATTCCTATAAGATAATAATTGTAAGAACTGCTAACAAAATCAGCTATACAATACAGTCTTCTATCAGAAAACTATTGATTATTACATGTTAATAATACCTATGTGTTAAAGAATACCAGTTGCTTGGTGGAGATCAGTAAATAATTTACTGATGCAGATTCCCTTCTATTTTAGGGATAAGACGAATTGGCAGAAGGCCTGATCAGCAACAGCCTCAGGGAGAGGGCAAGCCTATTGAGAGGAGGCAGGAGAGACGGCCTCCTCGTGAACGACGATTTGATAAACCTGCCGAAGAAAAGGGTGAAGGAGGAGATTTTTCTGTTGATAAGTAAGGATTGTACATTTTAAGATTGTTTAGAGGGGATGATTGTGTGTTAGGGTAACCAACAAATTAACCTGTTGATGAATGTAATTCAAAGTAACTTAATTAGGAAGCACAGAATATTTGCTTTTAGAAAAACAAGTTTCTTCATACATTTTAATTAAAATATTGTGAGTCACTTAATTTCAAGTAGTCTGTGGCAGTACTTTTTAAAGCATATTAACAGTTTTAAAGGGCTTAATATAGTCCCTATTCTATTTCTGCTTTTATAATAGACCCATTATTGATCGTCCTATGCGTGGTCGCGGTGGTCTTGGAAGAGGTGGTCGTGGTGGAAGAGGACGTGGAATGGGCAGAGGAGATGGCTTTGACTCTAGAGGCAAACGTGAATTTGATAGGCATAGTGGAAGCGACAGATCGTAAGTCTTTAAAACTCAGTAGCTTCTCTTTCAAAATATATTCTATTCAAATATTTTGCAAATTTGCCTTTGAATTTCTGTATCCCAGCACTATTGTGTTAACTTAGTTTTGTTAGTTCTCTTTCACATTCACATTTCAGTGGTCTAAAGCACGAAGACAAGCGTGGTGGGAGCGGATCACACAACTGGGGAACTGTCAAAGATGAACTGACGTTAGTATTTTATTTTAAGCTTATATTTAGAATAAATATAAATTATAAGCAAAATTATACATAGCTTAAGATTACAAGATGACATAATGAAAATGCAGAAATTATGTTTAATGTTCCGCATCCTTAGCTAGAAAGCAGTAGTCATGATGAAAGCAGCATAAATCTTTTTGAAAACCTAATATGCAATAGAATAGAAATGATCATTTTTCAGTCTTAGCATTTTGAGGCCAAATGTATGTCTGCTAAACTTCATAATCTTACCTGTATTTTATTAGGGCATATATTTTTAGAAAACAAAGGAATATATTTATTTGGGGAAAATTTGAACTTTGAGAAGGACCTTTAATAATTTTTCATAAATTTAAACTTTGTTTTGGCAAGTATGTTAGAAGTGCTAATTGGAAACAATTACTTTTTATTTTAAACTCTATAGTGACTTGGATCAATCACATGCGACAGAGGAAACACCAGAAGGAGAAGAACACCCCCCTGCTGACTCAGAAAATAAGTAAATATTAAATTGTTAGGGTTTTTTTAATCACCTAAACAAAATTAAGTTAGTGATGATTTCTTTGTGCTGACCTTGGAATGCATGAATGATCTTAGGGAAAAAGATGCTGCCTAGGAAACAAGAGAAGAGGCAGCCCCCAATGGCTTAATAGGCAGAGGAAGAAACTTAGGAATGACTCGGCCCTTTTATGACTTGTGGACTTCAACTCCCAGTATTCCTCAGCCAGCGTGCCTGGCTGAGGAATTCTGGGAGTTGAAGTCCACAAGTCATAAAAGGGCCGAGTTTGAAGACCCCTGGTCTAATTGATCAGATGGTGGTTAAAAGTTAAAGATAGCAAGAAGTTTGTACCTTCAGACTTGCAAGATTGTGTTGATGTAGCTTTTGACTTTGGTTGTTGGAAGCCAGCATTGAAGATTGCAAATGGTGGTTATGTGACCGTAGGATGCTGTGATGTTAAGTGCAGACCAATTGCAAGGACCATAACTGAGGATCGCTTTTAAGTCCCTCTCAGTCAGCACCATTGTAACTCCAAAGGTTATTGAATAAGTAGTTGTAAAATGGGGAATATCTGTATTTAAGCTGTCTTATATAAGTTGATCATATCTAGTGTTTTTGACATTTATGTTGGGAAAAAAAATAGAACCCTCAGTTATGGTAAAGACCTATTTCAGGATGACGATTTCATATGGCAGCAAACAACCAAAACACAACTCTCCATTTCTAAGTAAGCTATAAAAAGATTCATTAAGCTTCTGGTATTAAAGCACGAATACTACTGTTTTAATATGTGAAGAATCAAGGAAAAAGAGGCTGAAAATGCATTTCTAAGTGGCTGAAGAGGGGGAAAATAGTGTTGCCGCTATCCTAAACAGGTTGTTCACTCTGCTATACGTGTTACAAGTATGTGTGCTATAACCAGTTCCCAAAATATCCTGAGTAGCGTTTAAATTGATGAGCAGATAATCTTGACCTATGACCATTTGTTCTGTGACCATTCAAAGCTATCGCAGCGCTGAACAAATGTTTATAACTTCTCCTTGGAGTTCCAGCCATACCGACATCCCACAGTCACATGATTCACACTTGTGACCAATTGCAGGCCCTGTGACAATGTGATCACCATTTGCAATCTTCCCTGCCTGTCAGGAAGAAAATGGGGAAGCCAGCAGGGAAGCTGCCAGGTTGCTGGAGTAAATCTCCTCCGCCTGCGGACCTTTCCCCATTCTCTCTGCACTCCGTGCTGTGCCTCCCTGGCAGCCTCTCCCCAGCCTATATCATGCCTCTCCTGGACCCCCCCCTCCTCCCCTGCTCAGCGACAGCTACTTATCCCTTTGTTGGCCTGAGATTTTCTGCAGGCTTCCCCATTTATTTTGGTTATGGGGAAACTGGCAGGAAACTGCCTTGTCTAATGACTTGGCTGTTGGTTAACAAGTGGGACTGCCGGGTGATTGCTGTTGTTAAGTAATGCACTGTGCTTTTACTACTTCATCATTTAGCGACAGAAATTCCGGTCCTAATTGCCATAATAAGTCAAGACTACCTGTAGTTTTGAATGAAGTCTTCTGTCAAATTAGAAATTAGCAGTTTTAAAAAGGGTTGTAAAGTGAGGATGCATTTAAAAACTTAGCCTTGCTACTATTGTGCGTAGTCTCACTGTTTAGAGTATCTCTGTTATTAACGTAGATGTACGTACAAATCACAGAATGCTCTACCGAAAGCAGTTTTAGTGCCCTTAATTTGTTATTGCTTTAATACATAGAAAAAAGAAGAAAAAAAACATTAAAAAGATGCATATAGAGGAAATCATTCACCTGATATTTAAATACATCATGAAATCTTGACCACAAAAAATAATAAAAATAGAATAATGAATCTTTACTGCACATTAATATGGAGCCAGTTCATCAGCAGAAAGTTAACATGTGTTTTTTGTTCAATATTAGTTACATTGCCTTTACAATATTAAAATACTTCTCTTGTTTTTTTTCCCCCCCCTTGATAAATCATGGTGATTGATACCCAATTTTTGGTATATAATTCAAAATTACATTTTACTTTTAAATTTGTAACACATTAATAAGGCTTACAGATATTGAACTAAAATGAAAGTTAATTGATAAGGTGATTTTCTTTGATTCCTTTGTGTGCCACCTGTTGTAAATCAAAACATAGGTTTGTACCCAGACTTTTAAAACAAAGTGTTTTGTTAAATTAGCATCATTGTAAGATCATAAGAAGCATACCTAATCTTGCAAAATGCTGCCTTGAATAATATAGGTATGATAAAATATAAATATTCCCTGAACTTTATTTCATAATCCTTGCAAATAATTAGGATTATCATATTGATATCCTTTAATTGTTTATTTGAAAAAAAATAGTGTAATTTCAAATCACTCAAGGTCTAATTCTGTTTGATTATAATGCAGGAATTTATATGCTGTTAATAAATCTAAATAAAATTGTGAAATAAGATGTTTTAATTGACTTTCTTGCCATTTTGTAGTTTTAGGTGTTCCAAACTGCTCTTGTAATTACTTAAAATAGTAATCTAGTATTAGATGCTTAGCAACCTTTTACAAAATCAGATTGTGTGGGATAGACAGTTGAAGAGGTAGTATTGTGTGCAATGCACAAGTCAGGTTCACTGTTGATAGTGTGTGTGTGTGTGTGTGTATCAAATTGGATAACAAATTTCTTAATCTAAGATTTTATTAGTGGCTTTTGATGTTCATAAATCATGGGGTACACTTTTGTTACAATTGTATTTTAGCTTTTGCTTCTGTGAATTCTAGTAAGTATTAACTTGTGTCATTGGTGATATTAACTAGCCCCTTTCTGTTGCCTTTTTTAAAGTTCAGTTTTTTTCAAATATTGGGGTCCTATCCAGTGACACTTGTCATCTGATCAAGTGTTTAAAGTATTCATCTGATCAAGTGTTTAAAGTATTAAAGCTTCAGCTTCTTTAATAGGTTGAGCAATCCAGTGAACAATCTGGTTTTGCCAAATTAGCAGACAACTCTGTTTCACAGATATGCATTGCTAAGCAAAGACGTCACATGTCACCATTTGTGACCAGTCTGCCTGCTTCCCCATGACTTTGATTGTTGGGAAATGGCAAAGAAGATCACAAATGGCAACCATCTGACCCATCGGATGCTGCAACATCATAATTATGAGCTGGGCACCCAGATTGTGGCCACATCGCAGTGGGGATGCCTCAGTGGATGGAACTCAGAGGACCGGTCATAAATACCACTAGTTCAATGCCATCGCAAGTTTGAACAGTCCCTGAACTGTTAACTGAGGGCCACCTGTATTATGGAACTGAGTCTGTGGCTTATCAATCATTATTCCACTTGGACTGGAGCCTTTTTCTGTTTCATAGCTTTAGTTATCTCAGTAATTTCTCTGGGAGATAAAGCTGCAGCTAAAAAGCAACTTGGAATAATGATTTTGTATAAAAATAGTTTAGTTCAGTGGGCTAAGTATTACAATTCAGAATATTTATTCTTTTTAAAAGTCTTAGTCAGAATCATGATATACCTATCCTGAGTATCTTTTATAGCAGATACAATGTAACAACTATTTCAGCCAAAAGGCTAGTAGTGTACCATACTTTTGCTTTCTATGATTTAGTGAATACTCTGTTTCAAGGGCATAGAGCAGAAATTAGTACACATAAAATGGGAAGAACTTGGGGGGGAGTGAATAAAATATACCTCTACTTCAAAAGAATAATTATTTCTGGACTTGTAATTATAACGGATGTAAATGGAAATTAAGAATGATTGTGGGCAATTCTCCAGTTTTTACTTCAATAGTATGGAACTTCTAGTTTGTAGCTAATGGTCAGCACTGTAATGAGTAAATCTGGATGCTACATATCAAGCATTCCAAGAGAATATCTGTAGCTCAGGATTGAACTGTGGGGTCCTTGGTGCTCTCTAAGCTTGGTTGTTTGCTTGCAGACATTTTATTACCTGACTAAACTCAATGCACCGGTTGGGTAATGAAATGTTTGCAAGCAAACAACCAAGCTCAGACAACACCCAAGTCTCCATAGTGTCAACCATTGTTTTTGAACTTGAAAGGTACAGCTGATAATAAAATTGAAAGATAGTAATAGCAACATTTCATCATCGGAATAAAATTTTGTGGTAAAAATATATTCAGGCTGAATGTGCTGTTTTTAGGTGTTTTTCAATTTTTTTCTTCTGTTTGGATTCCACCCCTTGAAAACCGAGTGTGTGTGTATTAATTAAGTGCTTGACATTCATATTTATCATAGGGAAAATGAAGTAGAAGAAGTTAAGGAAGAAGGGCCTAAAGAAATGACTCTTGATGAATGGAAAGCTATTCAGAATAAGGATCGTGCAAAAGTCGAATTCAACATCCGTAAACCAAATGAAGGTGCTGATGGACAATGGAAAAAAGGCTTTGTTCTGCACAAGTCAAAGAGTGAGGAGGTAGGTACAAATTATTTTTATTGTAGATTTATACATATAAGAGTAATTGGCTTAAGACAATGTAACCATATGTTTTCTAGATCTGATTTCAGAAACGAACAGATATTTGGTTAACTAAATATTGTCCATTTTACTTTGAAACACAGTTTTATATTTTGCAGTTGGAAAATTTAAAAACCCAATGAGCAAAATCTTGCATTGTAATTCTCCAGTGTTTAGCCTTGTGTGTAGCCCTCATAGACTTTAAAAAAAAATATCACCTAACATTAGCTTATAATATGTCAGGAAGAAAGAAATGATGAATGTAATATATTAAATGTAAGTGAAATCAGTGTTAACTTTTTTCTGGGTTTCACATTTTTGTGTTTCAGTACCTGTTCCTTCCTATCTGCAGACAAAGTGGGGCTTTGAGCTCCTAAAAGTTATATTTGCTTGGTAGACAAGGAGAATACATTCCAGTTTTTTAAATGCAGTTTGCTAGTGGGATGTGGGTTACGCACATAAATTCTGAGTCCTAGAACAATGTGTAGAAAGAGTGCTTTACTGAATAATTATTTAGACGTGCATTGTATTAAAGTTTCCATGAAAAGTAAGCTCTTTAAAATTTAAGAGCATTTAATTGCTCTCTGCATGTTGCTTAACTGTGATAACTTTCTGTCCAAAGCAACATTGTGAATCTGCTTTTTTTTTTACCTGTCCTTTTTATGGAGAGCTACTTACAGCAATTCATTTAATGATAATTCGAAGTTAAATACAGCACTGAAAAAAGTGACATGATCATTTTTCATGCTTACGACCATTGCAGTATCCCCATGATCAAAATATGTACTCTGGGCCAACTGCCATGTATTTATGATGATGGTTGCCCTGTGATCCCCTTTTATGACCTCCTGACAACCAAAGTCAATGGGGAAGCCAAATTCATTTAACAATCACGTTACTAACAGGGATTCACTTAACAGCTGTGGCAAGAAATATACAATGGGGCAAAACTCACATAACTGCATTGCACAACAGCAGAAATGTTGGGCTCAATTTTGTCAATAGTTGAGGATTAAGCTGTATGTTTATTGGAGATGCTGCTAAAATGAGAACGTCTCGAAAATATCGAACGATTTGTTTCTTTATTTTTCTTTGCTCCTCTTGTTTCTCAGTAGCAGAGTTGATTCCTTGGTCGTTTTTAAAGAAAGGAGTCCCGTTCTTTTCACTAGGGATAATTTACGGATGAGAGCGATGTGAATTGTGATCTAAAGCTGTATTTTAAAGTTCAGCACTTCCTTTAACACAAGAACCCTGAAGTGACATTTTTTTCTCCTAAAAGTGATCTCGACGCTTATGTCTATTAATTTTACCAAACACGCTGGCTTGAATCCTAATTCCGTAACATCCTCTTTACTTGCTGTTTTGGGGTTTTCTCGCTGTATGTTTAAATATAGGCAATCCTCGAATTGCAACCATTTGCTTAGTGACCTTTGAAGTGACAAACGGCACTGAAAAAAGGACTTATGACCCATTTTTCACAGTTAACAAGTGTTGCAGGATCCCGGTGGTCGAGTGATCAAAATTCAGATGCTTGGCAACTGACACGTGTTTATGACAGCTGCGGTGTCCTGGGGTCATGTGATCCCCTTTTGTTACCTTCCGACAAGCAAAGCCCATGGGGAAGCCAATGTTACTAACTTAACAACTGCAGTGATTCTCTTAACTGTGGCAAAAAGAGTCGTAAAATAGGGCAAAACTCACTTAACTGTCTTGCTTAACAACAGACATGTTGGGCTCAATTATGGTCATAAGTTGAGCACCACCTGTATCTTGCATCCTAGACCAGTGGTGGCAAACCTATGGCACGGGTGCCAGAGGCGGCATTCAGAGCCCTCTCTGTGGGCACATGCGCCGTCGCCCCAGTCCTAGGCCTTCAGCTGGGTTTTATAAAACCTTTTCGCTTTAGGCCTCCGCCGCCATGTGCAAAAAAAAAAGGTTCAATCAATCAATTTCAACTTCTCGCAGGGAAAAAAAAATCTTGCAAAGTTGGAATTGATTGAACTTTTTAGTCCCACCCAGTCTGCCGTTACCACCACAGCCACGCCCACCCAATGGGCCACACCCACCCGGCACCCGACGATGCATAAGTGGGTTTTGGGTTGCAGTTTGGGCACTAGGTCTCTAAAAGGTTTGCCATCACTGTCCTAGACTTTTGCCTGGTTAATTGTAGAATAGTTACTCATGTATATACATACTCACATGTGGAAGTCTCATTATCTTTCTTTTGTTTTTATTCCTTGCCCATTGACATACAACTTGCTTCAGACAAAGGGGATGTCAGAAGTGCAGGGGAGTCAGCTGGAGCCTAATGAGGTACTTTATGGCTTATCTTTACCTAATGAATAAGGAACTCTCTACAAGTACAAATTTGAAGGTATTTTTAAAGAAAACCATTGAAAATGTTAATAAAGCTGTTGATGAATTCATTAATATTTTTTTGGTAACCAGTTTGATTGCTGACCAATCAGCATTTGTGCCTTTTTGTGCCAGCTTGCTTGCCCACAAGTTCAAATAATTTTAGTTTCTCAGGCCCATATTGTTATCGTGATGACTGTGTACATCCATGGCAATACTCCAATTCTCTAATTTTTTTTCCTGAAGAAAAAAATTCTGAAGGGATTTCAGTATTTGATTCCAGTTATTGGTAGGTTGATCTATGTTCCTTTTTCCATTATTACACATATTCAGTGACAACTACTAAGGAATAGTACTATATAACATTGTCACAGCGTCTGCTTTTCCTGTTCAAATAGTTTGTTGTGGCTTATGTAGCTGAAACCATTTCAGCCCAATGCATATTGGCAGACTTTGTGTTCTCCCATTCACAGAATAGTATGTTTCAAGTTCTAAATGATATTGTTATTGGACAAGGGTTAATAGCAGTTTTTGCACTCCTCTGATTATAAGGCTCCCATTTTATTTGAATTTTAACTGTATAATTTTCTTTGTTATGGTTTGCTTGTATATTACGTACTAGCTGTACCCGGCCACGCGTTGCTGTGGCTCAGTCTGGTTAAATGGAAAAGAAAGAAAAGAGAAAGCGCACATTTGTAATACGTTTAATTTCACAATGCTTGTGGGTATGCTTTTACGTCCAACAGATGGCGCTGTTTTTCAAAAAAAGCATGTTTTTACCTGTCACAGGTGTGACATCTATATAATAGTAGGTATATAAAAACACGTGCGTATTCGAATGCAATGTTGTGTCAAAATTTCAAAGCAATCGGTGAAGAACTTTTGGAGATTTAAGATTTTGAACAAACGAACATTTACATTTTTATTTATATAGATAGATATATAAATGTGCTCTGGGGCAATCTCATCACAGTGTGCTGGAATGGGATTTTGCCCAGAAGTATGGACAAGATGGTTTCTGTAAAATCAACTCTTTTAAATATAATGTATGCTTGGTATCAGTTGATATTGAGATCTGGCATTTTATTTTAACTATGTTTGATTTCTGGAACATAGGACAATTTTTAATCAAGTGTATAGTTTTGTGTGTTCTGATTCATTTGCTTTATATCTAGGTAATTGAACCTTCTCTGCAAATCCAGAGCTCTAGACTGGAGTTCTGGCATAATATTTCAGAGAATATAATAATTATAGGGTGCCATAACTTGACCTGTTAAAAATGCAGTTTTGACACACATTTGTCTATATTCAAATGTGGTTCACGTTCCATTCTAATGTTGATATGTCTGGTTTGCAGCCTACTAATGTAAGTAATATGAATAAAGTGCTATATAATTTTCTGTTTTTGAATGAAAACAAATTTCAAGCCATACCAGTTAAACCTGAATTACTTGATTTTGTTATAGTCTCATGCTGAGGACTCTGTAATGGATCACCATTTCCGCAAGCCAGCAAATGATATCACGTCCCAACTGGAGATCAATTTTGGGGATCTTGGTCGTCCTGGGCGTGGTGGTAGAGGTGGAAGAGGCGGTCGTGGACGTGGGGGAAGGGCTAACCGTGGAAGCAGAACTGACAAGGTAATAACTGATTTTATGAATGAAATGTCAACTTTCTGAGGCTGATGTTTTACGGAATTGAGCTGCTTCTAGAAATGGTGCACAATGTTGCAAGTCTAACTTTGCACAACTTTGTAAAAATAAAGTTATATCTGAAGGAGTAAGAAGTTACTTTTGGGAAGATGTTTAGATAATAGTTTTATGGCTGAAATGTCAAATACATTAGCTTTTCCTCAGTTTCACCTAAGTGCTGTGGTTGCGCAGCAATTCCCCGGACACCTGGATGAATCAGTCTATCTAGACCCATACCAGTCGGGCTTCAGGCCGGGGCACAGCACGGAAACGGCATTGGTCGCGTTGGTTAATGATCTCTGGAGGGCCCGGGACAGGGGATATTCCTCTGTCCTTGTTCTTTTGGACCTCTCAGCGGCTTTTGATACCGTAGAC